TACCAGAGCTGTGCAATAATACAGAAATCAGAGGAGCTGGAATAATTGACACTGCCCTGAAAGAAAGCTTACAGCATTCATCCATCTTAAGGGATGTGCTGTCACTCACACGTTAATGTTATACTTTATGTCTTGTGCTGCATGTATGAATACAAGAAATTAGGTGCTTTTATTAATTTGTAGAAGCTTCCAGAGAAATGCAGCCTCCAAAGCCCCAGAATATGTCACTGAGGTCTTTATGTGCATGCAGCTCTACAGAAAGGCTTTTCTGCAGAGTGAAAGGGGGTTGTAGGTAGAACGACTGCTGGAAATCAGCTTACAAAAAATCAACAGTTTCTAATACCTGAGTTTGCCTCCAGTTAATACCATTAGTCATGTTCTCAATTCACAACTGAAAACACCCAGATACTATGGAGATGAGCATAAGAACCAATTGGAATATTCCAGATAAAACCTGATCCCCTAAATGATGATACATCCGAATAATTTGGGATGCAACCAGCAGGAAAAGTTTCAGTGAAGATCACGGACCCATTTCTCCTTTACATCCAAATCTTATTTCTATACTGTGTGATAGTATAAAGAAGACTTAACATAACTATTTAAATATAACCCATTTCTATTCAAAGAACCCTACATCTTGCTGGAGTTTATGGGACTCAGACACAATTAAATCTCCCCTGTGAGCAAAGTTACACAGATGAGGAAATGAATGCAGGACCAGGTCTTTCCAGATGACATTTCATGTGAACCTTTACTGCTGATCTGGCACCAGAAAAGTGGAAGTGATGCTTTTAGAAGCAATTCTCTGTAGAGAACCATTACTGACATTGCTTTAAACCCTCTCATTTTGATTTTAAAGCTTTTTCACTATTTTATGTCGGTGGTGACTATTTCTAACACTGCCATTTTATGATTAGCGTGTGCTTATTATTTTCATATTTTCTATTTTTGTCTTAAACAGTGAATCACTGCTTCATTGGACCAATGATTTTCTTTCTGTAATTGATGGCTAAAATACTGGCCAGCACTGGGAATTAAGATAAGTGTGAAATCTGTTGCTTCTAACATTAAAAACTTATATTGGAAATATCTCCTTTCTGATTTCTATGCTGGCTCCCACGACTTAGAGAGTGCGAGAATGGCTCTTGCTCAAGGCAAGGTGAAAAAGGCAGTAGAATACATTTAAGCATATCTAGGTGCTGGTGCACATCCACACAAAGAAAACAAGCCAAACCTGCACAAACACTATGATTGGAAGAGGGCAAAGGATTTAAAGAAAAAAGTACCAGTATGAGGAAAACCAAGGCAGGAATAACTACCTGAATCACAAAACAGAGTATCCAGCCTCAAAGATGCTAATTCAGGTCCTGAGGGATCTAATCAGCCTCTTTGTTGAAGTAAAGATAAAACTTTTTGACAGCAAACGCTTTCTGATAAAATGGAATTTTCAATTACCCTGTGAACATCTGGTCCACGCTGCCATTTCCAAGGAAAACCACCACCACAGTCTGCAGGGCTGGAAAACATCTTCCACTGAGCTCTGCCCGTGGTGCTGGGAGGAACAGGGTCAGGAGCACCCCACACCTGTCCTCAGGGCAGTGTCCCTGTACCAGCTCCACACCTCAGCTCCTCCTGCAAGCCAGGGCTTCCTCCAGAGCTGCACTGGGAGCCTCAGGTACACCAGGATACAGAGAAAATCCACCCCCTCCTGCAGGGAAATAGGCCAAGGCACAAAGGGGAGCCCAGGATTCAGTCCCATCCTCCAGCAGAGTACTCCAGCCATCCCAAAACATCGCTGAGATCCAGCAGCTGCTTGAAAACACCCCTGTCTCAGAGAAATCCTGGAGGTTCAGCTGAGGACTCGTTAGGAAGAGAGCACATACAAACTTCCAGCAGCACTTAGCACCTCCACAAATAAACAAACAATTACAGGCAGCCAGGCAATCGCTGAAGGTGGAACAGCACCAGTGCCCGCCTTCCTCTGCATCCCATTCGGTGCCAATTAGCAAGGGAAGGAAAACAATCCTGGCCTATAATGAACTCCAAATTGGGTACATATTAGAGCAATTAAAGCCATCTTTTCATCAGATGAATTTATAATCAATAATTAAGATCCTGAGGTAAAGAGGGACTGGGCAGAAGTCCTGCTCCCAAAATACGCAATGTGGCTGAGCTCCAGGCAGTATTTCTGATGACCTGCTGCTACCCACTAGAGCTCAGCACTCTCCATGCTATGGTTTGCCATTTTTCTGGCAATCTAGGTCATTTCCAAAGGAGGAGAAAGGGCTCCTGCCAGCAGGACTGGCAGCTGGTGTCACTCCCACCCAAGAGTGGCAGCAGGAAAGTGAAACACCAGCAGCTCCCTGGGGCTCCCACGCCTGAGTACTGACCACTGGTGCCACTGGTTTAAGAAGACAAAGGAGCTTGGATCCATCCAAGCTTACCTCCCTCTGCAGGAAATGCAGCATCTCAGAAGGCAAAGGCTGCCCAGACAGGTCCACACTGACCACCCTGAGCTACCACACAGGGATCATCCTCCACCAGCCAGCTACAGGGATTTCTGCCAACCACTGTCTCCCCTGGCAGATCCAGGGTTACCCAGTGAGCAGATGAAGACTCACAGATTTTTGGGACACAGTCTGAGGGCTAGCCACTCATGAAGGACTCGTGGTGTCTCAAGCTGAGGCCCAAGCCCAGCAGAGACTGGCCACAGGGGAGCCACGCCAGGCTCCCAGCCAGGAGATCATTACCATTAACAAGCAAACTCCAACAACTCTCCCACCCCATTTCTCTGGGATTACATGAGATGCAGTTTGGGCAGGGACAGCAAGGAAAAGCAAAGCATGGGTACATGAGCTGCCAGGCTGCTCTCCAGACAAGGACTGTGTGTTTGGAGCAGTAGCCAGCCAACAGTCCTGCACATCCTTCTCAATGAATTTCTGGTGTTTTCTCCCCACCCTGCCACTCTGCCCCAAAATCAGGTAAAAATTACCAAGTGAAAACCATCGCTTTAATCATGTGGGAACTGCTGTTATCACCATCATCTCAGCATCTTGATTTTCCTGATTATTTTCTGCAGCTCCTGTTTCACAAATCAGCTCAGGCAACACTCTCTTTAACCTTTTTTTCAGCTTCTGTGACAGTAACCACTCACTTCCCCGCCTGTGCTGCTCCTCTCATTGCTCCACCAGCACCCCGATAACCTCACAGGGTCACCCTGAGCTCTCCCACACTCAACAGCGTGGGTCCTGCAGGACAAGAGAGCTGATTGTGGCACACCTGCCTGCAGGTGCAGCTGGGTGTCAGTGCAGCTTTCCTCCCAGAACAAACCAGATCCAGGAGCACCAACCCCCTGGGCCATTGCAGGACTGGGACACAGACAGGCTGCCCTCACCTTCTGGAAATACACCTGATTTTTGGGTGTATTTTACATGCAGTGAGGAGTCCATGCTACAATGGACTGAACCATATTTACTCCCATCTGACTCCTCCGAGGAGCTCTGCCTCCAACTCAGCCTCTTTAACTTATTTGCATTATTATCAGAGCCAGCACGCAGACTTATCAGAAATGTAATCCCTGTAAAACCCTATCTGCAGCCCATTGAGATTGGGTTTTTTGCTGAAGAAATGTGACAAAAAATTAACAGATGTTGCTCAGACCATTCACCAGGATGGGAATCAATTATGAACATTTTTGCTTCCACAGTCATCCCTTACTACAAACGCATCTTAGGAAACCCTCTCCTGATCGAAATGAAAAAGCATTTCTTTGTAATAGAAGAATAATAAATGATAGCTATCAGCCTGCATTCTCTGACACGGTGCTGGTCCGCAGAGAATCAAACTGCCACTGTACAGTTATAGAAATGTTTAATTTTTTTCATCTTTGGCCACAGTAGGGTTGTCTGGAAATACATTATCGCTGCGGATGCCATCCCTCTCCAATTAGTGCGGCTGGCAGCGTGGAATGTGGAGGTGACCTCTGTGTTCCCCTCCTCGTGGAGTCTCACAGGGTTAACTGTGGCCATTTAACAGACTCTATCCAGAATTAATACAGCCATCAGAATCTCCCCAGAAAAATCCCACACCCGGTGGCGCAGATGGCAAGAACTCTCTCTCCCCCGTTTGACTCTTTTGTGACAGCAAAACAAAGGCTTTTAATGATGTTTACCATGAATTGAATTTAACAGCTGAAGACCAGTTCATAATCACAGCATTTTGTTTTCATATCCTTAAGTCTTTTAGCAGTGGGGCTTCCAGTTGAGCCTCAGCTCCAGCTTATCTCAAGATATAGCCAAGTGCCCCGAGGCTCCCCCGTGCCCCAGCACCAAACCTCCTTAATTGAAAAAGACAGGATGTTTGCATTGGATGTTTGCATCCCTCAGACATTAAAAGCGACATTCATGCCCAAGTACAAACGACACTTGGGCTCAGCTGAACTCCTCTGACTTCCTTCCTCCAGCTAATACCAGTCTGGTTTCAGAGCAGGACTTCATCCCTGCACATGGGCACGAGAAGGGCTGAAAGCTGCCACCTTTGCAGGGGAAAAGATGCAAACCCTCACCCACTGGCCTGAGCTAATCCCTTGTGGGATGCCTGGCTGATTGCCCACATGCTCTGCTGACCTGTGGGAGAGCTGGGATGGGAGGGCTGGGATGGGAGGGCTGGGATGGGCACACACCATCAGGGCTCCTGAGGGGAGGCAGGCAGGGACCAGCCCTGGGCACAGCGCCCTAATTCCTGCCCTAATCCCAACTCCAGCCCTCCCTCACTGTCAGGCACATCTCAGGGCCTTGGCTTTCCTGCCCGTGAGCAGAGGATAATCCCAACTGCTCGCTTACTGACAGGCGTGGCGTGAAGGTTAATTCATACCTAGCCAGCGCTCTGCCGATGCACGGCATCATCCCCAGCAAGCACCAAGCATCCTCACTGCACACCCCCCAGGGCAGCACCAGAGGGGCAGTGGGGACAGGGGGCACCCCCGGGTGGTGGCTCACCTTGCTCGGGGCCCTGGGAGCCCATGGAGGGCACGCTGGTGTTCAGCACATCGTTGACGGCCGTGTCGCAGTAGAGCCCGCGCTGCACGTCGTGCTCGCTGTCCGTCTGGTCACTCTCCTCGTGCCCGCTGTCCTTCAGACTGTTCCCCTCCAAGTCCTTGAACGTGGAGCTGCTGGGGAAACACAGCTGTCACTTCCTGGGTGGGACAAGGTGGGCCCTGACACCCCGTGGTGCTGCAGTGAGGATGGGAGATCCCTGCCCACCCCAGCACCCACTGGCACCCAGTGACAGCCAGTGGCACCCAGTGACACCCAGTGACACCCAGTGGCACCCAGTGACACCCAGTGGCACCCAGTGGCGCTCAGTGACACCCAGTGGCACCCAGTGACACCCAGTGACGCCCAGTGGCACCCAGTGGCACCCAGTGGTACCCAGGGATGCCCAGTGGCACCCAGTGGCGGCCAGTGGCGCCCAGTGACACCCAGTGGCACCCAGTGACGCCCAGTGGCACCCAGTGACACCCAGTGGCACCCAGTGATGCCCAGTGGCACCCAGTGACACTGCCAGGCACGGAGAGCTGGGCAGGGACTGGGGGGGACACTCCCTGACTGGCACCTCTGCACCCCAAAACAGAGCATCCAGCCTGCACCATCCCTGCTCCTCCTGCCCTAGCATCAGCCTGTGGGTACCCTCAGGCTGCCCTCATCTTACAGAAGCTCAGAGTGAAGCAGAATTTGAAATAAAATTTTAAAAAATATACGTTAAATGAGTTGTTTCTACAACTTGGCTCTCCCAAGTTGCACTACCTCATACTGAAGTTACACAAGATCTAAACCCCATTTTTTTGGGTTATAAGCCAAGTCCTAATCACTTCAAGCTTAAAAAAAAAAGTCTTCCTGGAAACAGGAATGTCTTTTAATCATGATGATGCATTCTCATTTTTAAAAATAAACCAGTGATTCTGGGTCCAAGTTCATGCAGCTTTAAGGAAATCTGATACACAGTCAAACATCCTTGACAGCCTCTGCAAGCACAGCCACTGCTGGAAGGACCAAGGACTGAGCTGCTCCCAGATCTCCCCCAGGGCTGAGCAGCCCCCAGGCCAGAGGGATGGAGGAAGGGCAGATCCTATGAAGACTGAGGGAGCTGGGACTGCTCATCCTGGACAACGTTCTGGGAACAGAGCCCCTTCCAGTTCTGACAGGAGTAACTTTTTACAAGGGCAAACAGTGATAGGACATACAAAAAAGAGGGAGAGGGACTTTTTACACAGGCAGATAGTGATAGGATAAGGAGGAATGGTTTTAAACTGGAAGAAGAGAGATGATATTTTGATGATACAAAGAAATTCTTCCCTGGCAGGGTGGGCAGGCCCTGGCACAGGTGCCCAGAGCAGCTGGGGCTGCCCCTGGATCCCTGGCAGTGCCCAAGGCCAGGCTGGGCATTGGGGCTTGGAGCAGCCTGGGACAGTGGGAGGGGTCCCTGCCATGGCAGGGGTGGCACTGGGTGATCTTTAAGGTCCCTTCCAACCCCAACCATCCTGTGACTCTATGAAGAGCTGCATTTCTGGCTGCATTTGGGACCCCAACAGCCTGAGAGGGGCCATGCCCCAGGACCAGGGGTGCTGTGAGCAGCAGGGACACCTTGGGACACACCTGACCCAGGTGGCACAGCCATCAGGGTGTCCCTGGGGGGACACACCCTGTGCTCCTTCCACAGCCAGCCATGGCATGGCAGAACTGCACCCATTGGGAGGATCCACCTGCACCCACTTCTCTGAACTTTCTCACTGGCTGATCTGGTGTGAGACGTCAGTGAAAGACTCAGCCTGGGCTTCAAAGCCCCGAAGAGCTGGAGATTTTCATTACTTTGAAAAGCCCTTTTGTGTCTCCACGGAAACCAAGCAGACCACCTACCATCTAATGCTCTGCAAAAGCACACGAGGGGGGAGCTCTGAAATACATATAAATTGGTAAACCTTCAAACATTACCTTTTAAATAAAGATGTCCCTATTGAAGCCGCTGACTTTGATTCCAGGTGACATCAAAGATTTTTAAGTTAAGAAAGCACTACAAATCTACAATTCATTTGTGTGAGTGTAGATGAGCAGGAGAGGCAGGCAGACAACACAGGAAAAGTACAAATAGATTAATTAAGTGCTGGATTTGAGAAGGTTCACTCACCAAAGACAGCAGAACTACAACATCTTCATAAAGGCAAAGGATGAAAATGATGCCACAGTATGTTACAGAAAATATGTTTTGTTCTCAGATGTCTGCACAGCACTCCTGGCACCCGTTGTACTTAAGATACAGACAAAGGCAGAAAGCAGGGGAAGCGCTGTCCTACACGGGGCTGCTGCTCGTAATGCACAGGCAGCCCGTGTTACAAGGCATTTATCTTCCCTGCAGTGAGCCAGACTGGAATGCAGCAGCCTCAGACGTGCCTCCACGGCTGACACTTCCTAAAGGATGGGCAGGTCTGGGGGAATCGGCAGCAGCAGCAGCTCCCAAACAATACAGGCTCGGAGTCAGCCCCGCCGCGCAGGCGGCAGCGCTGCCTGCCTTTATCTTAGGTGAGAACAGGGAAAGATTAATAGATCTGGGGGCTTTTCAGTGTGCCTGAAGAGTCTCTGGCAGGAGCAGCGTGGCACGGGCCAGCCAGCTCTCTCAGTGTCACATTAGCATGGTTAAACACCACGAGCCACACGGGCCAGCACACCTGCCCTCCACAGCTGAACCCGCTCGCAGCTCCCTCGCTGCTCGGGCTCCTAAGGTGTAAACAAATGGGCTCTCAGCCAGGCAGATAATTGGATATTTTTACTGCTCAGATCAGATCTCAACAGTTCAGGGCTGGCTTCTGCTCTCTGTAAAACCCTTGGCTCAGTGATGGCTTCTGCAGAGTCCTGAGCACAGCTGTGCTGGGCATGGGCATGGCCATGGCCATGGCTTGGTGCTCACACACCTTGGCCAGGCCCTGGGGAGAGCAGGGAGGAGGGCAAGGAGCTGCTGGCCCTGTCCTGCACCCTGCTCCTGTGCAGGGAGCTGGCCCTGCAGCCCTGCAGCCCTGGTGAGGAGCACTGACCACGCTGGGTGACCCTTCCTGAGCCTCCTGCCCCTGGGGCGATGCTCACCTCTGGGTTAACAGAGCCCAGCAGGCTTCAGCTGGGTAACCCCGGTGTGAAACCCCCAGAGACATTCCCTCCCCACTGCCAGGCTCTGAGGACAGCAGTGTTTCACCCAGAGGGCTCTGTTTCCCCAAGGGTGACTGCTAGGTTGCAGTTGAACTGATTGTTTCCCTTCACACATGGGAAAAAATCAGCCTAGCCAAGTGCTGTTTGCCTTGGTATTCAAACTAAAACAGTGAGCTAGAGCCATGAGCTGCATCCAACCCAATTACCTGCCCCCAAACAACTCGTTGGTTTTTTTTAATTTTCCCCGCCTCACATGGCAGGGAGATCTCACCACCCAAATCTATCCTTTTATTCCTGTGCATTCAAATGGAATAAACTTTCAGAATTTGAAAGTTGTCAGGGTAACAGCACTCTACCTCACTTACTGTACCTTCCCAGCATGAAGAAGCCAAAGAGAAGGAAAAAAATATTTCCTTTACTGCAAACCACGAGCAATGGGACTTAATGGTAAATAAGTACTGTTTTAAAATCAAATTATTACTCTTTAAAAGTTTTGCATATTAAAATAAGCAAGTAGTATATAAGGCAGCATGAAAGAACATTAAACCCTTGGGATCTGGCTGGGCAAAGCAAGCCCTCCAAGCAAGCCTACGTACCTTTTTATTAAATGAGCTCTGCTGTTCACGTAGTTGGAATCAAAGGAGTAGTTTTCAGTCTGGAAGGAGGAAAAAGAAAACGGGAGATGGTTACAAGTCTGATTTCTCCGTGAGTGGGAAGAGCCAGGTCTGCAGGGCCAGGATGAAACCTTTGGAGAGGGAAGGAGCATCCCATGATGGCACAGGCCCCTGTGAGCAGGACAGAGGCAGGCATGGAAAACTCCAGGACCTGTCAGTCTTTCCACCAACTTTCACCAATAAAAAAGGCTGGCTGGTGACCACAGAACAATTTGCAGAGAAGAAACAATGTGACTATGCTCTGTTACAAAACTAATTGCTTTTAATTCCCTGATGGACTCAGTTCTGTGTGTGTCAATTTGACTGAAAGTTCAAAAGGCATTTTTCTTATTAGTGTATAATTAACATGTTAAAATATTTATTGCATAGATATGTAAATGCCAGCAAGGTAATCCCCTGCCAAAGAATTTAATGCGGGCACTTTTCTTTGTTTTACATCATTTCATTTGCAGAGACAGTGGGCTCTGTTATTAATAAGAAAGCAAACAATGGGTGACATGCTTAAAAGTTGGAGGGGAGTAAAAGAAGGAGAGAAAAGTCAAAGGAGTTGTTACTTACAAGCAAAACCCACTAACTCATTCTGCAGTTGAAACACATCTTTTAAACTCAGATTACACAGCCCCGGGCTCTGGTGCTGGCAGCAGGTAAGGAACCAAAAAAAGCAACCAGAAGGGAGGGGAGAGAGCAGGGGGAAAGCCATGAGGCCATGGTGGGAGCCATCAGGGGGCACATGGTGGGAGCTGTGCAGTGGGAGCTGAGCAGTGAGAGCTGTGCAGTGCCATGCAGAGGGAGCTGAGCAGTGGGAGCTGAGCAGTGGGAGCTGTGCAGTGGGAGCTGAGCAGTGGGAGCTGTGCAGTGCCATGCAGAGGGAGCTGTGCAGTGGGAGCTGTGCAGTGCCATGCAGTGGGAGCTGTGCAGTGCCATGCAGAGGGAGCTGTGCAGTGGGAGCTGTGCAGTGCCATGCAGTGGGAGCTGTGCAGTGCCATGCAGAGGGAGCTGTGCAGTGCCATGCAGAGGGAGCTTTGCAGTGCCAAGCAGTGGGAGCTGTGCAGTGCCATGCAGTGGGAGCTGTGCAGTGCCATGCAGTGGGAGCTGTGCAGTGCCATGCAGTGGGAGCTGTGCAGTGCCATCCACAGGGAGCTGTGCAGTGCCATGCAGAGGGAGCTGTGCAGTGGGAGCTGAGCAGTGAGAGCTGTGCAGTGCCATCCACAGGGAGCTGTGCAGTGCCATGCAGTGGGAGCTGTGCAGTGCCATGCAGAGGGAGCTGTGCAGTGCCATGCAGTGGGAGCTGAGCAGTGGGAGCTGAGCAGTGGGAGCTGTGCAGTGCCATGCAGTGGCAGGTGCATGGTAGCACGTGATGGGAGATGATGCATGGTGCACCACAGTGATGGAACATGGTGGGATCTGCACAGCCTGGCCAGGATCCTTCCTGCCCTTCAGGGACCCCAGAGGATGCAGGATCTTGCACAAGTCAGGCACTCCAGCCCACCTGTCCATCCACCCCAAATCCCCCCACACCTGCAGGGATCCCACCCGGGCTCCCACCAGCACCAGCCCTGGGGTGCTCCTTCCCCCCTGAGCAGCAGAAGGAGCAGGCTTTGCTCTGCTCCCCTTCCTCCAGGACAGCAGCAGCATCCTCCCAGGACAGAAATGGGAGCATCCACCTGCCCCCGGCCCTGTCCTGCCTTCTCTCTGCCACGCTCCTCCTGGCCCCAGCCCCGGGGCTCTTCTCCTTCCCAAAGAGCTGCTCTGGGATACCAGGGCCTGTTTTTATGGCAATTATGAACACGGTAAAAATAAATGCATGCATCTTTAATGTCTCAATAAATAAAGGAAAGCAGAGTCTGCTGCTAACGTAATCACAATGGCAGGATGCAGGGAGTGGGGCTGCTGCAGCAGAGCCCAATGTGAAATCCAATCGTGCCCCAGCAGAGGTTACACGGCTCTGCCAAGATCATAAAGCACAGGCAGCCTTGGTTAAGTGTAACCTTTTCTGAAATACAGCACAATGTCCAATTTACCAAACAGGAACCTCCCAGAGAGAAACAGGCGAGGAGCAGCGAGCCGGGGGAGCTGGCCCAGCGCTGAGCACGGCTCTGTTATTACTGCACACAGTAATTACTGCTGGGGAGCCACGCTGGAGATTTACTGCACAAACCACTGGCCCTGCAGCTCCTGCATCCCTGCTCCTGCCGGTGACTTTGGTGCTGAGAGCTCAGGAGCAGACAGACACACGGATTTTCAAAGCATGTGATACCTGAGAACCCAAACAGCACAGAAATCACCTGACCCTGTGTTTGTCCGTCTGTCCTGGGGCTGCCATGCCAAGGGGGTCCCACAGCATTCCCCCCAGGCAGCCTCACAGCTGCCCCCAGCCCTGCAATGAGCTGAGAGCAGCCAAGCAATAGAGGGCAGAAGGGATGGGAGCCACTTTTGGCACAATCCTCACAGCGTGGGGAGCCCCCATCACCCAGCACTGGCAGATGTGGGACCACAAGCCCAGAGCCTGGCTCCATCCCTGCATCCCCAGCCCCATCACCGTGCCCAGCAACAGGGAGACCCCTGCACCCACCACTGCCTCACCACCTCCATCCCTGTGTGTGCACAGCCCTGGGAAAGCCAGGAGAGGAACAGCTGGGTGAGAGGATGCAGACAGCAAATTTCAATGTACACAGGTACACTGAAGAGCTTTAAAACACTCAGAGCATGGACACTGCATCACCAAGGCTTCAGGAGCCAAGGAACACCCCAGGTGATCCACAGGGAAAGTCTGACCACTGCCACCAAAATCCCAGAGGCTGAGGAGACACCACCACACGTGCTGCCATCAAAGTGCCACAGCCCAGACACAGACCTGGCACTAAATCCCCCTCAGAACAACATCCCTGGGAGCTTTCCTATGGATTTCAAACCAAAAACAAAGACCATATCCTGGCTCAACTCATTCACCAACAAGCAAATTCCCCTTGATTTCTGTCCAATGGACTGGAGCAATGTCCTTCCTGTGCATTCCCTGCTCCACGTGTCCCCTGCTCAGGATGCTCTGCAGCACTGATGAAACCCCCACATCCACACAGAACAAAAGGGCTCCTGAGGGGCTGGACACAGCATCCGTTCCCAGGCTCGGAATTCCCCCACCACTGGACACAGCACAAGGAATGATAATTGCTTCCAGATTCCAGGCAAAACAAGCAGTGACATGGCCACAAGGCTGGGAAATCCTCTTCCCTGGGTCTGCACCCTCAGAGGTGAGAGCTGCCTGTGCTGTCCATGCTGGCACAAGGGTGGGCTGCTCATCCTTCCCTCCAGCCCAGTTTCTTTACTTAGCCATGGGATTATCTGTCAAGGTTATCTCCAAGCAGACTAGGGGACCAAACCAGAAAAATAAAAAAGAAATGAGATTTTTCACGGAGAAGGGTTGCTTTACAGCTTGCATTATTCAATCAAAGTTCACTTGATTTAATTCTAGTTCATCCTGCAAGGTGCAACCACTTACAAACAGAGGCAAAATGATGGGAGAGGAGAGCGTCTTCGACATGTCAACATTTTAATTGGGAAAGGATCCACTCCCTCTCTTAATGAGACCCAAAGAACAAAGTCAAAGCACAAAAAAGAGGGAAAAGGTAAGGCTGGCTGGCACCGATGAAAGTGTGCTCTTCATCAAGTGCATCACTGAGAGGCTGGCCCTCATCTTCTTCATTATTTTGGCAAAAGCAAACGAACTGTCACTTTCTCACTAATCAGCATCACTGCTGTAGAAATCAAAGGGGAGCCCAGCCCCAAGTCCAGCCTCTCCTTTCCATGTTCAGAGCCAGGCACAGCGAGGACCTCCCAGACATGCTGCCAGCTCTTATCTCCTCGTTGTAACTGAAGAAAGGATGCTCACACTTGTCACCATCAGCCCCACAGCCGCCGTGCCAGGAATAAACAACACATTCCAGACATGAGAAACGCTGAAGAACACCTTGCATGAAGTCTGAGGCCTCAGCCCGCATTTCTCTTGGAGGAGAGAAGCCCTGCTGTCCTCCAGGGACAGGTCTGTCCTTGCTTTCCAGATGCAGACGTGTTGGTGGCAGTGCCATCAAAGAGAGCCCTGGCTTGCCACACTGCTTACCAGTGCCTAATTTGAAAAACACTCTTAACCGCTGCCTTAGCAACACAAATATAAATATAACAACAGACACACTCCAAACTGAGCAATCATGAGGGAAATATTAAAATATTTTTTTTTCCCCTAGTGGTTGCTTTTGGTTGAGGACTGCCAATTCCATTAAATTAAAAAAAAAAGATGTACAAACGTCAGTGTAACTCTTCTTGACCTGGATATCAATGGGGGAACTTCCCCGACAGCAAAGGGCCTGTTAGCAACAGGGCACTGCTCTAAGGACTGCTCACTCCCTGCCTCAGAAACAGAAATAAACCCTGGCGCATCCAAAGGCGTGTCAAGAGGAACTCATGCAGTGCCAGCAGAAAGGGCAGCAGCCTGCAGCAGCTCTGGGCACCAGCAGCACTGAGCAGGGCTGCACAAACAGAGGGTGCTGCCAGGGTCAGTGCCAGGGTGGAGGGACGTGTCCTGGGCCATGCCAGCGGGCTGGGAGCAGCTCGGGCATGTCCCTGCAGCCTGCTCGCCTCAGGGCAATCCTGGCAGCTGGTTCTTTATCACTCTTCCTCCTTTCAGCAGTTTCAGATGTGGGATATCTTTCAAACCGAACTCCACAAGGTGAAAATCCAGCTTTCTCCATGGCACGTGGATGCAGGCTCTCGACAAAGGCTTTGGTTCCTTCCCATCAGCCCCCAGCACAGTCCATGGCTGTTTGGAGCTGGACCCATCTCTCCCGACCCAAAGTGACAGGTATCCATCCATCTGCCAGCCTCTGCCTCACAAGATGGCTTTAAAGCATCTCAACACAGGGGTTTTTTGCCCTTCTTCTCACTTCAGGGTGAAAACATTTCTATCTTTCCACAAATTACTGTAAACCTG